ACACCATTCCAGGAATTGAGGACAAGAGACCAAACACTGGAAGAAGAGATGCTCCCACTGCTCTTATTGCTCAGGAATTTCCAAGGGTTTTAGGAGCTCATGTCAGAAAAGGACAGAGACCAAATACATATTTCCCATTATGTCACAATATCACACTCCCAACTCTGGGGTTGCCAGTTTAGCACTAGTTAGGTAAGCTGCCTATGAGACCCCCTGCTATCCCCTAAAGGAAAGTAATTTTGCAATAACCAGCCCACTTTGTTGCTAAGTAGAACTTTCTTGTTCCCACTCCCTTCTGCCTATAAAAGGCTTTCATTTTGTTCAGCTCCTCAGAGCTTCTTTCTATCTGCTAGAGCGTCTGCTGCCCAATTCATGAATCATTTATTGACTAAAGCCAATAAGATTGTTAAAATTTACTCAGTTGAATTTTGTTTTTTCACAAGTGCTGGTTGTGGGTGGAAACACATAATTTTAGAGGTGGGAATAGGAAAGGTATTTGTAATGGTTAATTTTATGCATTAACATGACTGGACCACAGGTGGCAGAAATTTGGCCAAACATTCTGAGTGTGAGAGCATCTCTGAATGAGATTAGCGTTTGAATTGGTAGGCTGAGTAAAGCAAATGGCCCTCCCTCATGTGGGTGGGTGTCATCCAATCCGTTGAAGGCCCGAACAGAACAAAAGGCTGACTTTCCCCTAAGTCAGAGGGAACTCCTCTTGCTTGATGGCTGTGACGTGGGACGAAGTGGCAATCTTTGCCTGCCTTCCAACTCACACTGAAACACTGGCTCTTAGGTCTAGAGCCTGCTGGTTTTTGGACTGGAACAACACCATCAGCAATCCTGGGCTCAGCTTACTGGCTACAGACCTTGGGACTATATGAAGCCTCTATAATCACATGATCCAATTCCTTATAATAAATCTTTCTATATATATGCATGCCAGTGTTTATGTTTCTCTGGAGCACCCTGACTCATGTAGTTCTGAAGTAATTCGCACCCACTGGCACCTACATTCTTATAAAACAGAGTCAAGATTATCTGCTGAGCATGAAGAGAAAGTAGGCTTGAGGAAAAAGGAAGAGATTTTGTGGAGGGATAGAAATGAAAATGGTACTAAACAGGGCTTGTCTTCCTGTATAAAAGGTATTTCTCTAGAAGAAAATTAATTTTGAATTAATTATTTGTGACATTATTGGTTTCATTCTCTCCACTGCAAATTTATAAATTCAAGGGTTACAGGCTGTGTCATCGTAAGATGGAGCATAGTTTAGTGTTAGAGCCATTTGTTTGGGTTCTTATCCCAGCCTTGCTATTTTATAGCTGTATGACCTTGGACAAACTGCTCAACCTTTTTGCCCCTCAATTTTTCAATGGCAATTAGCGATAGTAAAAATTCATCACCATCTTGGCCTTAATCTACCCTGAGCAGTTAGCACAATGCCTGAATGAGAGTAGGTCTTGAATGCACGGATTGGCAGGTGGATGAAGACTGTGATTCTGTGGCTCAGCTCCCGTGGTGAATTGTTACCAACTCAGCATCATTTTTGCTCTACTCTATGTTCTCCCCTGCATATTGGGGCAAAGATCCTCAGAACTGTATTTCTTGGAATCCCTTGCCAGTGGGATTATGCATTAGATTATTCCAATGCTAAGTGTTTGCCCAAGGTTTGAAAGGGAAAGAGGAGAAAAATACTTTGTTCAAGGAAGCTAAGGAGAGTGCAAGACATTGGCAGAAGGCAGATGACTGGCTTTGCGCAGCCACGCCTGGGCCTTCTCCCTGGAACTGAGCTGCCATGGCGGCTCAGGAGTTACCGGTTCCTTCTAAGCAGCAGCAGCTTCCCTGCCTTCACTTTTTTGACTTTTCCAATATTTATGGAAATTTATTCTTCCCTGCATTAAATCCTTTCCTGCTTAAAATACCTAGTGGGCTTTGCTTTTTGCACTAAACACAGTTGTTATGGTGGAATTGTGTCCACCCCAAATTTGTATGTTGCAGCACTAGTACTTACTACCTCAGAAAGTTACTGTATTTGGAAACAGGGCCTTTAAGAGGTGATTAAGTTAAAATGAGGCCATCCTGGGCTGCCCTAGTCAAATATGACTGGTGTCCTGATAAGAGGAGGAAATTGGATACACAAGAGACACCAGGGATGCATGTGCACAGACCACGTGTGGACACAGCAAGCAGGCAACACTTTGCAAGCCACAGAGAAAAGCCTCAGGAGAAACCAGTCTTGCTGAGACCTGGATCTCAGATTTCCAGAACTGTGTTAAAGTCACCCAGTCTGTGGTATTGTCTTATGGCAGCCCTAGGAAACTAGTACACCAACCTAAGCACTAACTGGCTTGTTAGGATAGACTCTCTGTTTCTTTGGGGTGAGAAAGAGTATGGGTGGGGAGGTGTCTCTTTAAGTTATCACATGTTTGTGAGGCACTTAGAAAATTTACGGGAGGGCGAACTCATCCAGAGGCTGCTGCTATACTAGTGCCATATAAATTCTGTATCATGACCTAGATGTGGGCTGAGTTCTGATCAACACTCAAGAAAAACTGGAACAGTGTGGATTCCGTGTTACATCGTAATTCAATTGTTTCTGCACGTCCACAGACAGTTGTGTCCATATCCAGCTCCAGTCCAGCCCACGGCTTTTTGTATAGTGGCTATGCTGGACCTGTTGCTGCTAGAAGACATTCTGTAGTGGGGTTTGGGTGGCTTTATCCAAATCAGCAGTCTGTTTTGAGAGTGACATAAAAACAAAACCCAAAATAAAGTATGTTTGGGAAATTTGAGAAAGGAATGGAAACTAGAACTGAGTTATAAGGACCTACTGAGAAAATCTGAGATCTCAAAGAATCCTTCCTCAGAATGGGAAGTGAAACAAAGGGCTTTCCTGACAAACCTGTCCTGCGAGTCCCTAAAAGAAGGTGGTTAAGTATTTTCTAACCTCTACAGGTAAGTTAAGGCAGTCAACACCTGCCCCGAGGCTCACTCTTCCCAAAAAATGGGGAAGGTCACAGATATGAACCCATAACAAACGTTCTCCCAGGACACATCAGCCATGTGGCACCGCTAGATTAAAGGAATGACGGAGCAGGACCTGCTGCCCTTTCTGTATCTGGTATGACAAGAGGGTTCTGAGGCAAGTGTTATCTTAATTTTTACTGATGGGGGCTTCAGAAAGTACATTTTCACAAAGTCACATGGGCATTGACATAGCTAGATTGATGGCAAAGCTTTCTTTCTCCAAGATCATCTGTTTAACCATTTTGTCATACGGCTCCACTGTAATACTTCAAGGTTGTATCAATTTAACATTATGAGTGATTGACGGTATCTGTTGAAATACACAAATACCACTGTGAAACGTCTCAACTACCATGTGTAACAGCTCCGCCCACAGGATACTCCCAAGGATCATCTACTCCGTACTGTGGAGCTCATTTAAAGCAAAGGAGTCCTTTTGCTTTTCCCAGGAAGTCTGAGTATAACCCAAAAAGAGTACTTCGTGTGCAGGTGTTAAGAATGAAGGATTTTCTTAAGACATCTAGAAGACTTTCTCAAATGTTCCATTATTACAGTGAGAAAAAGTTGTATTACATACTTACTTGGGTGACTCATTCTAAGATAGTAATTGTATCTTTAATTTGATTAGGAACAGAAATCATACCTTAACTGAAGGAGAGTATCGTTTTTAAGCAGGATGTGGCAACTGAAGGCAAAGACTTTCAATTTTATTTTTTTTATAGCATAATGAATGCAAGCAGACCATCTTTATTTCATTATTCAAGAAAACCTTGCAGTAATTTCGGTTCTCAGTAAATACTTGTTTAGCTTCTCTGTACCTTTTCATGTGCTTGTCTGCTTGCTCACACCTAGGCCTTCCATGCTGACATAAACTTGATGACTCCACCAGCAACCTAAGTTCAAATGAAATGTAAGCCAGTTGCAATGGGCTTGTATGCAATCCGCACCTCTCTGTGACTAATTCATTTACGAGACGTGCATAACGTTCCCTCAGTCTGGACGGTTCCCCTCCACCCCACATTTATGTTTCTGTAAAAGGGCATATGAATCACTGTTCCTTTTTCTAAAAATGGAGTTTGCATATCAAATAAGCATGAGAAGACACTGAATATTCTCTGAAGTTTTAATCTCCTTAATCAAACTCGAGGTAATGGAAGTCCAGAGTTCTTCTTGATAGAGAGCACAGCACGTGAAACAAATGAGAGGAGGAGGAATGGCCGCACAGGCACTCCTACTTTGGAACTTATTTTAAAGTTGGACTCTATTTTCTTGAAAAACTTCTAACATAATTTTTATTTCAGTTTCAAAAGATCCTGTAAATCAACCAGGCAGATAAACCAGATCCAGTGAGCTTCATATCGCATAGCAGATAAGATTTAAATAAAACCTACTAAATTTCTAAACTGTCTTTCTGCATTTTTACAATAAAACAATTATTATAGCAGCATTAAACGGATTTTTCAAGAAAACCAAACTTCTCCCAACCCAACTGATTTCAGGTTTACATATTCCTGTCATTATTTATATTGATGTAGCCATTTAATTTCTAATTATCAGGCTACAAGAAATTAAACACCAGCTATGGCTCCACCCAAACAAGATGCTGTTCCCCAAAGCAGAGGTGTTTCCTTCACGCCACTGCCTTGGAGGACAGAACTGCCCCGTGGGCCCTGCTACGCTGCAAACTCCCCCAGTCCCTCAAGCTCTATTTCTTATTTACTAGTGATCCCCAAACTAAAAATAAATCTTTTTCTCTTTTTGCATAATCGCATAAAAGTTCCTTGAAGGCAGGGACAAAATCTGTTCATCCCAGATCTTAATATAGTGTTGGGCATGTAAGCGAATTCTGTTACTAAATAAAAATTAGAAAAAAACAGAAAATTGTGTCGGCTTCAAATCTATTCTTCTCTTTACTATTCTCTTGTCTCCTGAAACCACAGATTAGTGATAAATAAGAACAAATCACTGTTGCCACACTTAACACTTGTACATTTTATTTAATTAAATCAGCCATTGTACACACTGCAGCTATGTATTGTTAGTGTTGTATTTTTTTTTCCAGTAACTAATACATGCCCTCATAGATATATTCAATTAGCGTTATCACCATGGGAACAAGATGCTGATTCATCAACTGAAAATTCACTTCTTCTCACAGTATTCAAGTTTTTTGATTACACAGCAAAAATCAAAATCAAAAGGAGGTGAATAACCATTGTTGTTACACAGACATCATCTGCACTGCAAATAACACAACTGAAATGCTTTTCTTGAGCTCCAGCGAAGGTTTGGACAAGGCGGCCATGGTGTGCCTCAAAGTCTCACCTGGGGCCTCTCTCATTTTGGCTGCCAAAGAACGCTTTGTTTCCTATCCAACTGCCAAAAAGTGCTAGCATCTGGGGCTTAGGAGATTTGGCTGGCGGGAAACCAATGATGTCCAGGAAATTTTCCCTCTTGGCATCGTGGCTTGAAATGATGAAACGCCATTGTTTGTCGCATTTGTTTTTGACATTCGGAGCAATGAGTCATTTTTGCACAACGGGAAAAGACCAGATAGATTTGGAAAATGTTCAATCTCTGGAGGACCGACTCTGGTGATAGAGTTTTTCTTTTAAATTTGATCTTCATTGAATATACTTTTCTTTAACAAATAACTGATTCAAAATGTATACTGTTTATATGAATATAATTGTGAATATATATATATATGTTAAAATGTTACACAGCTTCAACCACTAGAGGAATAAGGAACAGGACATGGAAATCACTCAGATGATTAAAGTTTCTTCTTTGAAACAAACAAACAGGGAAGTGCACAAATGCACTTGTGCCTCCAAGAGAGTTTGGATTTCATATAAATAAATCAAAAATTTTAACCCAAACCAAATTTGTAAGGATTTCTCGACCTTGTTTGCCAGCTAAAAAAACAGACCAAGCTGACAAGTGGGAAAGTGCTTGCTCAGGGTCAAAAGAATGAAAGCCATTCTGGGATGAGAAGAGAGGTCTGATTCTGTTTTTGATTTTTAAATTCTACATGCAGGTATAAGATAGAAATCTGGAGAGAGGAAAAAAAATTAAAAAGGAGGAGAAGAAGCCACTCTGACCTGGTGAAGGAGTTTGACCTTTTGTGTAGTGGGTACATCTTGTTTTCAATGAATTATCTACAGTGCAGTGGCCAGAAGAAAGTACCACCAATAAGACAGCGTGGTTTCCTAAAGCAGCAATGAAAACTGGAAAACTACAGTAGTTACAGCTTTTTAAAATACCCTGCCAATATGTCGGAAATCTAAAAGACCTGAAGACGCCAGAATGCCACAGCCTGTAGCTGGTAGCAGCTGAAAGCCTCACTGTCTCACTCATTCTGTTTGCCTTCTGCTCCCGACATCCCCTCTGTCAAGAGTGGCGGCAGCTGGAGAAGCGCCAGCCACAGCTGGCCAGCACCCAGCAGTAAGTGCTTAGTTAGGACAGTTCCTCGTGGTTATGAACCCATCTTTAATTAGGAGCAATGGCTACTCTGGAAGTTGTAAGGACCTGGTAGGTCTGAAGTGCTTCTTCAGCAGAACTGTATTATCATTCGATTGTGTTAGCAATATCTTGATTAACCACTGTTCAGCAATTTCTAGAGGCCTTTTATTCCATGATGCCAGTGTAGTTATGATAGGCAGTGGTTTTAATTTTAATATGCTGTTCATCTGAGCATTCTAGCTATATACATTGTACATGGACATCCCTTTGAAGGATTCCTCTATAGCATCACCTGAAGAGGTCTGCAGGCGAAGGTCTTCTGATCACTGGGTTTTCATGGAGCTTGTGCAGAAGTAAAGGACAACGGAGGTGGCCGGTTCCCAGGCTAGCACAGACACAACAAAGTAGTGGATACAACATCCAGAGGGAAGGATGCTATCTTTGGTCACAAATTAGCTTACAGTTAAAGAGGCTGAGAAAAACTAAAACCAAATGCAGTGTATTTGCTAAAAGTGGAGACGTCAGGGTGCCCATTAGGCCAGTTGGGCCGCTCTGCTAATGAAATGGGAAGTTGCATATTGAGTGAATGTGTGGTTTCTGATGTGAGGATCGGGCAGCCCCCTCATTTGGCCTCTTGCTTCAAGTCCTCCTTGTAGAAATGCCGAAGGAGTTGCTGGAGGTCGTGCTGGAGGTCATCCGGTGCTAGTGCTTCTGGCACATCCTCCAGGTGCTCCAAGTGGATGTGTTTCCCACGCTGGTCCTTCACCACAGCCCTCTTCTGCGTTCGGGCTTTACTCATGGTTGTCCTGGAGGAAAGCAGACAAGGGAGAATTATGCTCTTTCTTGACTGCTGAAAGGCAGCCACTACCTTTGGCATGGGGGTAACCATGACGTCCAAGTACTTACTGTCTTCCTTCTAGATGGTTCTATATGGAGCTATCAGTATAACAGCTATAGCCACCATTTCAGGTCTTTTACACATGGCTCCCTTAAGTGAAATGAGCCATGAGACTTTTTTTTAACGTTTTGGGACCAGGAATTTTTTTTTAAACTTTGAGAAATATTACAAATAAATGAAACTGTGCTTTAATATGGCTCAAAAGGTAGCCACATAATAACTCATGTTTTGATTAAACTGCACTGATTTAAGAGGTTGGTTCATCCTGAAATGGTGATTCCATATTTACTTTTTGACAGGCTGAGAAAAAGTTTTAAATTTATTAGTACACCTTAGCTGCCAGCTTAATCCTTAGAGTCACATCCCTACTCAAACTTCCCAAAAATGTTCTAAGAGAACTTTTGCACAGGAAATAGATCCTTAAAAACTAGACTATGATTCTATCAGTGTACAGGAAAGTGACTCCCAACAAGAACTGGAGGTCCGCCCAGGCCTTTGGGGCTTCGTCTGGACCAGGTGGGGGAGGAGAGGGAAGGAACACTGAGACAAGCCCTGTCATCTCACATCCCCGCGTGCTGGGCCCTTTTCCGTCCCTACTGTCCCTGAGCAGCCTGCTGCCTTCCAGGCTCCCTCATCAGACAGGTGATTACTTGAGGAAAGGGTCACAGGATACTACAACATGCTGTACAATTATTTTCCTGTATCTATACTTGGAAATGATCACCTTGTAATTTGTTAACTCTTGGTTCTTCTACTTTTACACATCATTCATCATTCCACAAATATGTGGTGAACATGTTTTATGTGCCAGGTATTATTATAACAAATAAGGAAATAATCTCAGAGAATGTAAGCAATGCAAAAAATAACAGTTAGTATGCATTGGGGCCACGACTCAAATGTTCCAGAGCCTGAACCCATAACCACTATGCCGTGCATCTTCACTTAAAGAATGATCAGTTTCGAAGCTATATCCCACATTTTTTGCATAAGAAGTGCTGTACATCACAAATAGAATTCCATAACTAAGTAGTTGTGGAACTTAACTGAGTTGTTTATATCCCTGGTTTCAAATTCATCAGCTCTAACAGAAACTTTGGATTAACTGGTCTCCAAAATTGATTCCAATTTGAAGATTTCATCATGCTAGGGTATGCACGATTTATGTGGTTTTATTTAATAACTGGACAAAAGATTTAAAAGTTCAGAGAATAAAAGGCACTTTATCCTTAATTTATGTAACATTTTGAAAGTTCTATGAGCAATTATTCTCGTTTAAATTCTTAGCTCTTGTTTTTTACATGTGATAGGAGGGAGGAATTTGTGACAGAACCTTTAATTTCACTGTTCTAATTATTATGTTCTACAGCCTAAAAATAGCTTTGTAGAGTACTATAAATGACAGTCTTTCTCTCTTTTTCAATGAAGTGAAAAACATTAATAACCTGAATTGCCATTGTGTCTTTTCACTGAGAAGCTGAGAACATTTTATGAATACTTCAGGTGCTGCTCAAGGAGCAGAGGTCAGTGAGAGTAGACCAGGGCAATCGTGCTGAAGTTTATACATCAAATAGGTGATGGAGACAGGGAAGACTAGACAGCCTCACAGTTAATCCCCTTTTGTATGCACGAAAATTAACTGCTTACTGATTTTATGACACTTTCTTAATTTATTAAAGCACCTGGTTTCAGCATCGCTAGGGAAATTCAGGTTCTTAGGTATCAAACTCATGCTCATGTTATGTGCCACTCTCATGCAGAATCATGAAACAGCTTGTTAAAAAAAATAATAAAGCTTGTACCACTCACAGTAAAGATTTAAAAAAAAATAATAAAGCTTGTACCACTCACAGTAAAGATTTACTAAGACTGAGCTGAAGGTAGCTGGGGCAAGCAGTTGATTAGATTCTCCTTCCTATGCTCTTCAAATCTATCAACACAATGGAATATCCCAGCTGGCTGGCCTCAGCAAAACTGGTGACTTGCTAAAACCCAGGGAGCAATTATGTAAACTGGCAGATTGCTATCAGCATGCCTTAATATTAATTTTAAAACATCAGAAGGACACTACAGATATGATACACACACTGAGATATCTACTACTTGACCAAAGTCTAACAATATAGGGAGAGTTGGCAGTTCCCAAGGGGTTTTAGGGTGTATGTAGGGGCTCCATTTTTCTTAAAACTAGAAAAAATTTTGAGGTGTTAGTTGGCAAAATAGCACCCCATGCTAACCCAAACCTTTTGATTATTGATCCATCCTCTTTCAGGATTTCATTCTCTACTAAACTGGGTAAGTGGACTTTCATGTGGTTACCTGTGTAACTCAAAGCCTGAAGTAAGAAAAAAAGGAAATAAGACAAAACCCATCATAAACCATAGACTTTAAAAATCAATTAGTTTGCATAATTGACAGTATAAAAAGGTATACAGGAAAGGATAAATAAAATCATTCTTAGTAGATCTAAGTATTGAGTTTTATTTCAATATCTACCATTTGTAAGGGAAATAGGTTACATTACTTCACAAATGCTATCACCTGTACTCCTTTTTAATTTCCTTTTCACCTCAACCCCCTCCTTTCTACAGTGGAGACTCTGATATTTTAATGACCGCGGGCAAAAACAAGCAACAAGGCCCAAAGTGGATAACCCAGATAATTCATTTTTGACTGTATAGGGTCACCAGCTGTCAAAATGTGAAGAACTCAAAGTATTTAAATAAGGTGAGCTTTTAATATTTCAATGTATTCATATGTAATCTCAATGTACATTGTGGGTATAGAAGACAACACACATGTAACATTTAACTTCAAAATGTTTCAATAGCAAAAAATATTTTGTAAATGTTTGCACATGGCCTCAGTCCCTTAGTAGAAACCTCTGAGACAAGATGTTGTTTCAGAATTGAGATTTTCTTCCTTTAGGATTTCAGGAAGGTAATATGATATACAGTCTGTTTATTTTAATGCATGAAATAGGGTACGGACAATGTGCTATAATCAAACCCACTAATACATCAACAGCAAAACATGAATATTCACTCCAGGTAGGAGCAAAAGGACCCAAAACACCCAACTCCGTGTCAGTTCATATGAAGCTTTACTGCCAAAATAGTCTACTACTAACTTAAAAAATTTGTTTTGGTTTTCAAAATTTTTGGAATTTTGAATTATAGTAAGCATCTATGAATTTTTCACTGTGGACCCATTGGAAATCAGAACTTAAATATGAATGCTTGTTTTATTTGGAGTATAAGATCTATTTGAATTTTCTTCAATGACTATCATTGGAAATTTTTGAGAATATTAGCTAGCAAAGATAATTTTCAAGCTCTCTGTTTCTTTCTCTTATTAATCAGGAATACAAGTCACTTCTGGGACTTTTAAACAAGATGTACAGTCATGCCCCAACTCTGGACATTGTGATTCTGATTCAAGTGGAGGGAATCCTGGTCACTTGGATATTAAAAGCTCTATGGTGACACCAAAGAATACCATAAGTTGAGGAAATGTTACTTCACTATGTAAGATATTCAAACAAGAATTCCACTCTCTTGAATTATTCTGTAGCCTTTCATGAATACATGTACGGAGTGACAATGAAAAGCTATCTTCTTTGCAAACACAAGCAAATGTAATACAAGCACACACATACTCAAAGACAAATGATGCTTCTATACCTCTTCAAAGTCATCTTTGGCTGAAGGAAGATCAGTGGCTAAACTAGAATCCCCCAGATGTTTCTCCATCCTCTCTCCATGTACCATAGTTGTTTTAACAACTTTGCTGACTCTACGGCCTTCCACTGGTTCAGCCTGAAATTGTGAGGTACTGGACAAAATGCTGGGTTCAGACAAAGTCACCTAATGAATGAAGGACACACAATACACAGTTTCTGACTGCCAAAATGTAACAATGACACGTTTTTCTATGTTAAAAAAAAGAAAGAAAACTATAATGTTATATACTAGCTTTCCAGAAAACAGTGTTTTAGAAAGGAGAAGCAGTTAGGAAAAAAAAACAACCTATAATCAACAGGTAATGTCTATATAATGACTCTATCCACATAGCACTAAATCAACCACTTAATTAGTCACTTGAATGAAAATTTCTCAAGATGTTTCATGAATAAAAAACTGGCTGCTCGGGGCAATGCAGACATAACAACCTGTGGATGAACTCTCTTTCCCATGTTTAAATCGTCTGTTTTGATGTTGTGGAGATAAAATTAACCCCCAAAGGAGGAACTCTCAAAGATATGAGAAGTGAAAAAGCGGATTTCTGGAGAATCCCATGTGTATAGTAAAATTTTGAGGACATGAATGAATGCAAAATGGGGAGAATGTCACAAGTTCTATGTGAACATGTTCCTCAAAGAGGGAAGTACAACAGAAAGAAATAAAACTATAATTCAAGGAGTTTCTGGATCCTGATTTTAGTGACTCTGAAATGCGGCAGTTTGAATATCAAATATTTATCTCAAGCATTCTATAGAGGGCTGTTAGGCTGACATTTCATTGGGTCATCCCATAACTCACTGCTTGCCAGAAAATGGGATTCTAATCTTTTAAAATCTAGCTTTGGATTTTTGCTGTGGTCAACTATGAATTAAACAGAAAAGAGAAATAAAAAGGACCGAACAAAGACAGTGAGCATAATGGCTACAAGTCTCCTTGATGGTTATTTAAAAATTCCACAAAATCATGAAGAAAAAAATCACTGTGCAACTGAAAGCAGGCAGCCATGTGAGGCACACAGAGAAGCCAAGAAGAATGAAGAATCTTGTCCATTCCTCTGGAGCACTACTTTACAGTCTCCATAAAATCACGGTGGAGAATCAGATGATCTCACCTCTGACTGTTCGGTGTCACTCTTCAATACAACGCGCTTTACAACTCTGGAATAGCCATCCCCTTCCTCAATGGCCACAGGCTCCTGTGCCATCCCCTGCAGTGTAATCTCCTCTTTCTCTGTGCCGTCAGAGGATACATACCGCCTAATGATCTTCCTAGTAACCTGAAAGAGATTTCATTCATGTATCTTGTTTTTGAGCGGCAGAACCACAGGTACTGACACAGGGGGTTTGCAATCAATCATGCGAGGCTCTGTCAGACAATACCTTCTTTACCACAGTGTGTCCGTGCTCATCAATGTATTCTTCTTCCGTGACTGTTTCTGGGGGTATGTCAGGCATATCATCTCCCTGAACAGTTGAGAGAAAAGGGTCACTTCAGTGCCTGGCACCAATTCCAAGGAACTACTCCCAAGTGCTTATAATGTGAGCAATGTTAGAAAATTAAAGGAGCTGTTGGGAAGCACTGCAGGGATGCCAAATCCTGTCAAGTAGTATGTTTAAAAGGGAAAAAGAAAAGGTGGGTAATAACATGCTTAGGAGAATTGGAGCAAAGGTAGGTAAACACTTAAAAATGACCAAACAAACAAAAATGGACAAGCGGGCGGTGAGGCGGGTGAAACTGAAGAGGCTGAGTCTTGCTCTTCCCTTCACTCTCTTGGAGGTAGGTCGCAAATGTCTTTACCGCTGCATTTTTTTTACAAACAAAACTTAGAAGAGTTAAAGGACCTGCTTCTGAGTGGCCATGCACTACCTAAGGGGCATGCCAAGCCCTCAGTGCTCCGCTCTGTCGCTCTCTCAGGGTCACAGGGACAGAACTGTCCCACACGTGCAGTAATTTGACAGCTGGTACCTGAATAATCACTCGCCGGCGGACAACCCTGGTAGTTACCATCGCCTCCTCATCTGAGCTGGCCTCCAGCTCACCTAATTCCTCTGTTAGCTCCTGGTGGAAGCACGGAAGCATTGTTTTGTTTAACATGCTAAGGAATGTCTTCATTACTGGCTTCGGCTTTAGCTCACACTGTTTTCTGGAAGTTTCATTCATGGAGGCTTTGGGGGAAAAGCCCGCAAGGGAAACAAGTGTATGCTACTTTCACCCTCCAATGAGGATACAGTTTTTGTTCAGTGAATGAAAACAAAAATCTGGAATTCTGAGCTAGCTGAACACCCATCTGTCAAAAATCTGTCAGAAGAAATTAGCAGCTTGTCCACATTACTTCTGGAACTTAAAGTCCCACAAGTAACCAAATGTAAACACAGAACCCAAGCAGCACAGCAGACACTGTGAACTGACACCCAGGCTTTGGCCTGGAATGGCTAACCCAAAGGTAGAGAAATGACTTATGTTTTAGCAGAACTTTTCTTCAGGAAGTCAAATTTTCCTAGAGCTCTTATCTAGCCAGTATGCATCTCCCTGACATCAAAGAAGGCAGGCTATGAATAATTTAAACTCATTTTGTGGAGAAGCTAAGATGCAGAGGCCAATCCAATTTTATGGATCTGGCCCAAAGTCAGAGATGGAGATAAGAACATATTTTAGATTAGAACATGTCTCGGGAGCCTTATATCAAATCACTCTTTCTTAGAGGAATGTTATTTTTACAATAAAGAAAATTCAACTAAATTTTCTCATATTTTTAAATGCCAGATATAGTTCTATGTTCCTTTCTGCTAATGGAAACATGTAAATTCTAAACCATATTATACATTAAATACACTCAGGAATCTGCTGCTTAGAAATAAGGTCAGCAAGATAAATGAAGTTGGATCCTCAGGTTAGCATCATGAAGGCTCAAAATAGGAAGTTTAATAGAGATAATTAGATATTCATCAAGAATAAATGGGAACAGGCCTGCATAAAGAGTGTAGAATACATAAAGACTTACCAAAATTTATTTATATGCACAGAATAAATAAATGGATCATACAGATAATTGTTTTAAGTCTATATATTTCACTGAGCCTATGGATTCTTAGGCTAAATTTAGTAACTTTTAAGCCCAGATAGCATCTATAACACATTTTTACTGGAATTTATTTAATCCAAGAACTTGAGAGGTAGGTAATTCTGTGCCATGACAAACTAGAATAATAATTCAGTCATGGGTGAACTTATTATTTAAGATAACTACCAAAATCAGGGTATGGTTCTCATCTGCCTGGACTTCCAGTTTTAGTTCGAGTTTTAGATAAATCCTGCTATTAGATTTAACTTTCATAGTGAAGGAAAACAAACAAAAAAGTAGGTTGTAAGACTAAAGATATTTTGTATCACTTCCCCCCTCAAAGCTTTATATAACTCATTCTTTACTATTCAGACATATATTAATGCTTTAAAAGTATTTTGACATATAAAATGTTTCTGAATTCTAAAAGGAAAAATAATATCTATTTTAACTTATATAAAGTTTAATTCAAAGTGATTCTCACACTTTTTTTGTGTATGAGGATCATGTATGGAGTCATTTAAAATGCAGATTCTTGTTCCCCCTTCCTCCCTGGCATTCAGTCTGATTCAGACATTCTGATGAGGAATCAAGCCCTCCAGTTAATGCTGAGGGATATGAACCATTCAGACCACATTTTGAGAATGAATGGTTTAAATAAATCTCCCAAGATGGTCTCCACCCCTCTTTACAACATCGAAACTCACTCAATGACTATCAGGTAGACTGACATTTTGAACCAGAATCAAGTTTAGGTACATTGTCCTTTTTGTAAGTCATACTAAAAATAAACATAAGGAGATATCATTAGGAAATAATCCTTCTTCTAATGAGAGAACTTTGTTTTGGGAGGTAAACCCTGCCCAGTACCCACAGTCTGTGCACCCATTGGCAGACGGCATGGAGATTGGACGAGGGTGGGGCCCCAGTGCTTTCCCACAGTGGGCAGCCTTCCCTGGGGCTCTACTCATCTCTCCCATTGGACTTCCGGCCTGAGGCTACTAATTTTATAAAGCTGTATCAGGCATAGAGTTTCATTCAAGTTTTCATTGTTTTTAGCAAAAGGATTTCCAATGATTAAATTAGGGCTTATGGTCAAAAAGCTAGAATGTGAACTATGTGTCATTTTTTCTAGGTTCATTGGTTCCCAGGTTATAAAAGGTATTGAGGGCTTTACATGGCCCGGATTAATTAATTTGGCAAACCTTTCTGCCTTAAAGTGAAAAGCTAAGCCATCAGAGAAATGGAAACTGGGAGGTTTGTAGCTTTGTTATAGGTGGGAAAGGACATGGAGAAGTAGATTCTTACCTTTTGAAAAGCTGTATCTTCATCCAGCCCTGCAAGGGTCCGCAGCTGGCCATCAGCAGACTCCACTATCAGGAGGCTAGTTTTCCGAGGGGAACTCTCCCCACTAGGCACTAGGGGCTCTTCGGGCTCCTGTACAATGGGCGAGTCTCCCTGCTCACTCAACGTAGGTGTCTGGAGACACAGCCTCTCCTCCTCGGGAGGGGTACTGAGTTCCTCAGGTGTCTTGCTGGGAGAGCCAGGTACTGCTGTAACCTTTTGAGTCTCTGATGCTTCTGTCCCTGGGGTTGTCACACTGAAATGGAAAAGCCGAGTTAAACCATGAGAGCATATGCATTTTCCCCCCTGCTGAGTGAGGGAACTGGACAGGAAGATAGGTCTTCATGGTCCATGAAAGTCAACAGGTTTTGTAAATTTAGTCAAGAAATGAAATTTGAATCAAAATCTTATGTAAGATATTGTACAGTTACAGCTCATTGATCTAGCCTTAACTGGGAAATATGTATTCCAAAGATGAAAATTGTCCTAAAATGTACTGCCATTTCCTAATCTCTACAAAACATACGAATTATAATTTCATTTTTTTCTTTGATAGCACAAGGTAATTTTAAAGATTTGAGGAGGTTCACATAACAAACAGCTGCTTGATAGATAACAAGGCTTTTGAAGCAAGAAACAAAACTTGGCCACCTTTTTAAAAAGCAATATATTAACCCCATGTTAATACAGTTATCATAATTATAAATACATGGAGATTCTTAAAGCTCTGGAAAACTGTTATTACTTGATAGATCTACTGACATTGAAACTTTTTCTCTTTACATAGTTTGGTGTTACTCCAATGCTATCTTTATTCTCAATTTCTAAATAAGAAAATTTCCTCCTTTTCTCCTTTTTAAAAAAATTATTGCAATTTTCTGTCACTCTTTAGATATTAAATACCTGAAGTGTCTCTTTGATGTCCCCTCCCTACATCCCCTTTTCTTTTTTCTTCCTCTCTTTTCCTTACCTCTTCTTTATGCTCTTACCTAAAACCTAAAATGCAGGAGGGCTCAGCGGAAGAAGCGATCATTCCATTACTATCTCACTCCAGTTCCCATGACACTAGCACAAAACTCCCTGAATGACAAAGGAAATACTATGACACAATCTCTGGATGCACTAATCTCAGATTTCAGGGATACAGACCACTTGAGTTTCTCAGGATCTGTTTTCTTTTTGTAGACAAGTGTCATTGAAATAACTGTCTCCTTTGCTCCAGAAAGCCCTGACCTTGAGTCCTGAGCTGTCTCTGCAGCTTCCTTTAGCCAGAGCTCTCTGGAAGAATTTTCTGTGTTCCCACTCCAACCGTATCCACATCATTTTAATGGTCTTTCATTCTGTGTGAATAATTTGTGTTGCATTTCTATTTTTACTGCTAGCTACCTCACAGCAATATTGAAAATACACTGAGGGCTGCTTCCCCTCCCCCGTCACTCTTCATACCCTGAAGCAGCCATGGTGCACTGGGCACACAGCACAAGTGAGATACAGCCATCTGAACCCTTGACCTTTGACCCTGTGAGATGAATAAGGTGTTTATTATTATTACTACTGATGGATGTAGAAACAGAGACTCAAAGGGCTTTGAGGTTTGCCCAAGGTCACAGAACTGGAAGCGGGTTCAAGTGAATCTGTGCCACACATATCATTACAAGTTCAGATTCTCAAATCTTTTTTCCCCTCCTAGCTCTGGCATTTGTTATTGGTGGGGTCATTAGGAAAATATTTGAAAATGTCTTACACTTGTATATGCCTTGCACCCTTGCAGTTTTTGTCTTTTTCTTTGAAATGACATGACAAACTCACAAGCTTTTCTGAAACTCACAAGTATTCCTGCTGACATTCAAGAGATGACTTTTCACGCAGGTCTTGCATTTTCCCTGAGAAATCCTGTTCAACTCGCTCCCTTTGAGTCTGAGAAAAGAGCTCTGTTGCTGAACTGTCCCCTTCAATTTTGGGGACACAATCCTGCAAAGTGGAATAACCCACAGAAATGTCTTCCTCTGAGACGATGGGGGGGTGGTCACAGGACTCCCTCTCTTTAGAAGCAGTTTGCTCGTCTTTCTGTTTGTGCTGGGCAGTGCATAGCTCCTCCTGAAGTACTGAGAACCCTGCAAGGGAGAACAGTTTACATGAGTTATTTAAATGAAGCTCACCTATATTAAATGAGTATTTAATAAGTAATTACTACATGCCTATCCTGTGAGAGGTCCCTGGTTATAAGTTGAATAAGACATGTGCCTGCCTTCAAGACTAGAGGCACTCAGGCAAGTAAGAGTCTATTAAAATGCAGAGTGACTGGGCCACAGAGCACCCAACTCAGCGTTAAATAATTAGGGAAGGAAAAGCAGAGGGCGTGATATCATAAGAAGACCTAATGATAAGCAGGCATCAATCAATTATAATAGTCGAGGCACTGAATCTAGTTAGTAAGAAGAGTGAGTTCATAATAATAATAATAAGTAATACTTAACACATTCTGAACAGTCACTGTGTGTGGGCACTGCTCTAAGTGCTTTGCAAGTATTAACTGTATTAAACCACACTCTGATGTCAGTATGCTTTTCATGGAGCATCTCTTATGCCAGGCTCAGGAATTTCATTTCACCCAGGGCAATGAGGAGTCACTGAAAGGATTCTGACTGACAGTCATCTATTTATTTATTCACTCAACAGATATGTAATGATTATCAGCTAGGTAGTAGATGCCGTTCAAATGCTGGATATATAGCAGTGAAGGAGAGAGGAGAAAGCTGTCTTCACTAAACTTGCCTTTCTGAAGATAAATATTTATGAACAATTTTAGGAAAAAAGGAAATCAGGGTAAAGGCCCAGAGGAAATAGGGCCAGTATTTTACATAGACTTTTCAGGAAAGGCTCCCCGAAGGAGGTAATATTTGAGCAGAGGCCGGAATACAGTACGAGAAAAAAGCACCTGATGATCTGAGGGAAGAACATTCCAGAGTGGTGGGAATACAAAGGGCCTTGGCCCTCAAGCCTGCAAATGGACAGGATGTCCAGGGGACAGCAAGGAGGCCAGGTGACTGGGACTCTTGTGGGAGCAGGGGAGATGGGAGATGGGGCGCGCTCCAAGGCTCTTGCTGAGCAGTAGCAAATGCCATTATTTTAAATCTATAAAAAGTAAGAAACTAGAGGAAACTAAGGAAGAATAGCCAGTAAAATGGGAGAAAAACAAGAGAGGGTATCATGGAAAGCAAGTGAAGAAAATGTTTTAAGAAGAAGCAATTAATCTTTTGTGTCAAATGTTTCTAAGGGGTAAAGTAAGATGAAGGCTGAGAATTACTACATTTGGAAATGCGTAAGCAATTAGTGAATTTTACAAGATTGTTTTCTGTCGAATGGTGATGACAAAAGCCTGAATGGTATGGATTCTAGACAGTTCTAGAGAGAATGGGAAGACAGAGGTGGATATAGGAAATTCAGACTATGCACATTTGCTTACGATTATTCCTGTTTTTTTTTCCCTAATAAATAGGAAGCTTGAGGCAGAGCCAAGATGGCAGCGTGAGTAGAGCAGTGGAAATCTCCTCCCAAAAACACATAGAGCTATGAAAATATAACAAAGAAAAAATCTTCCTAAAATAGAGACCACAAGACACAGGACAACATCCAGACCACATCCACACCTGCAAGAACCCAGCGCCTTGTGAAGGGGGTAAGATACAAGCCCCGGCCCGGTGGGACCCGAGCGCCCCTACCCCCGGCTCCCAGCGGGTGGAAAGAAACCGGAGCGGTTTTTTTTTTTTGGCGAGTGCTTTTC